TGAAAAAAAGATTTATAGTTGTAGATTACATTTTTTAATTTAAAGGAGCTATCAAAACCATAGAGAAAATATAGCAATTATTGGTCCAAAGATATTTAAAAGGAAATCTTGAGTCATAAAAAAGAGAAGATTCATAGAGAAATATATGTAGTATCAAGTTATAAGATGAATTTGTCTACACTGTCAGTAAGAGCATATGAGAATTGTGTGAAATATGCAAATTATACTGGAATTTAAAAACTGAAAATGTTAAAGTTGAAATAACATAAAAAGAAAAGCCAATGTGAACTGTTGCATGATATGATGAATGATAGAGCTGTGAGTCTTTGTTTTAGCACCAGAAGTAGCTTCAAATTCACTGTCATTTATAACTTGCATTGGTAGTGTTTTGGGTACAATAACCTGATTCTTTTCTCATGGAACAAGGGGCTTGTACTAGAATCCAAGGCCTCACTCTCTGCATTAGCTGAGACGTATGATCCTGTCCTTGTTGAATTTTAGTTTTTAATCTATAAAATGAAGGAGTAGGGATATATGATTTCTAAGGTTCTTCGTGGGTGTGATTCTGTGTGTCTTATCCTTAGTTTACTTGTCCATGTTTATTTAAGGTTTGTTAAAGAGAACTGATGTGTACATGTGGATTTTGTTCATGAAACCAATAAAAGGACCCTCAAAAAGAAGGCTCGCATTGCCTTCTGAACAATGGTTCAAGTGTTTTAAATATGGGTATAGGGTTGTTATTATAATCACAGAGATAAATTCTGGGTACTCTTAATGGCACAATAATTAATATAACTGTTAGATTTGTAAACTTCTTCACATCCACCAGCTTAAATCTTTCTAAATCCTTAACACTAGATTGCCCAAGGAAGTCATTTTGACTGCTTTTTAATTTCAATTAGAAAAACAATAATGTATATAATGACAGAATTTCTTAGAATTTTGTGACTTTTTATACAACATATAAATGCATTTATTAATAATTGTAGTTACCTCCCCCTCCTTCATTTCCAGTATATATATGTATATGTGTTATACCTATAT